AGGGGGCCAGAGAAAATTACGGAGCCCGACATTGTTTTGGCAAACTTACACACCGAAGCAACATTAATTTTAGTGACCTCCGATTGGCGTAACCGGGTGTCGTTACCACCAGCGTGAATAACAATCTTACTGTATTTACGCTTATCCTTAGCCAGCAGTTTCAGGTAAGATGTAATGTCGCCCGCTCTGGCCCCAGGTAAACATTTAACTATGGTTGCTGGAGTCTCTGAATATGGAGCTGCCAATGATCAGAGTCGGCTTGTCAGTTCAATCAACAAGCCCCAGGTAAAATCTATGTTATTCATCCATCCATCCATCCATCCATCCATCCATTCATTCATTCATTCATTCATTCATTTTTATCCGCTTATCCGGAGTCGGGTCACGGGGGCAGTTGCCTAAGTCGAGAGGCCCAGACTTCCCTCTCCCCAGCCACTTAGGCCAGCTCCTCCGGGGAAATCCCAAGGCGTTCCCTGGACAGGTCTGCTCCGACAGCTTCTGGCATTTTTAAAAAGTATCCCAGGGGCATGGTAAGGGTCGGAGATGTTTAGTCTATTTAATTTCTGACTATACAGTATGAAACGATTTCTTTGGTTTTAAAGTGTGAAGTAAACTCCGACGAAGTAAAATCCAAGTCGATCCCGTTCATTTTGTTTGCATTTGTTGCCAGCCAATATGGCGTCTACTCTGAGAGTCCCGTGATGTCCAAAGCTCTACAGCTGTTTCAGCAGATCTCCTTGTGAAATGTCAACAGCTGCCCACGGCTTAGACCGGAAGTTAGTTTCTGTTTTTCCCGTGTCAGTCACAAACATCAGATTTTCTTGAAATTCCAGCTGTGAAAATCCCAAAACCTTTTTCATCTGAGGTTTTAATACTTCTTTACACATGCTGTTCAAAGGAATTTTGCCTCTGGCCAATATCTTTAAAGTGTACTCGGAAGGGTACAGCCTCAGGACTTAAGCCTGAGTCATGCTTCTCCGTCTGCGTCAGTGCGGAGACACGCAACGCCATTATCCGTCCTCGCGGGCCTGCCGGAGAGCTCCGCTAGGACGGGCGGAGTTGAGCTCTCTTTTCTAAACATCCGTCCGTCGAGACGGACAACGCAAGCTTGTGATTGGTCAGGACGCCGCTGTCGTCTACACCGCCGCCATTGCGCCCTCAAAAACATAAAGAGAGCTGAGGATAACTAGTGGCAGACACGGAGCAGCTTGAAGAATACCTCGCAAAAAAACTCTAAAAATATGAACGTTTAATTCCCCGTGACTGGAGGAGTGAAAAGATGAGCAGCAAGAATTTTATTTGTGGACGGAAATGACAGGAAACGTGGGTTTAGAGGTGGCGAGCGCATGAAGAGGTGGAGGAGGATGAGAGACAAATTCGTCTGTGTTAAAAGTCTCTTACAGTATATACAAAAAAAAAGCACACAATATAAACACACTATCTTGGACCGATACATGACAGGATACCACAGAACAGCGCTACGCCCTCTGTTGTCCTGCCGGGGAATTGCTTGGCTACACTCCCCAGGAGACGGAGAAGTATGAGAGCAAAACGCTTTTGTCAATCCGTGCGTGTCTGTCCCTTGCGGAGCTGACGGAAAAGCATGGATCAGGCTTTAGACACAGCCCTGGTTTTAGAAGTAGTACACCATGTGCCAGAGATGGCCCAATGCATATGCGAACTAAGTGACCACCTTGGGCCCCCACACCACCAGTGGACCCCCTGGAGCACCAAGATGACATGAGGAAAAATGTTTTAACAACTTTAAATAATACAAACGAAATATTTTACATGAAAAAGACGATTTATCTATGTAGTGTCATTTGGTTTTATTTTGAAGTGCAGCCCAATTTACATGTTTCAAAATTTCAAAGAGAAACTTGTTTAGGGACCCACAAAGGCTTGGACCAGTCCTGCCACGTGCTTTCTGTGACAGGTTTTTGGTTCAAATCCCAGACATGCCCCCAATTTCCAAACCTCCTGCCAGTAGATATATGGCAGGGGTCGGCAACCTGTTCCCATCAAAGAACCATTATTATCCGTTTCCCACAGTAAAGAAAACACTGGGAGCCACAGCAGCTGCGGCGTTGTGGGCGGGACCTACCCTCAGACAGCAGAGAGCTGCTCACAACAGGTGACAGCAGCCAGTACCGGTCGCTCGTGTACGTCAAAGTTATCTTTCATAAGACGATAATCAATAAAACGATATATATAAAATGGATCCAGAAATTGTAGCCCGTCTCTGCCTACAATATTTTGATATTTTTCACCCTGTTGGTGGTTTTACTGAGCAGGTGCCAATTTTGTCATACGTTTCTTTTTAAAACATGTTTAGACTGTTCAGAATACAAATCCAGGAATTAGAATTAGCTTTCAGATGTACAATTTATGTAGTAAAATATAAAGCATTTTATTTAAATATCCAGTCATTACTTTACAAGCACAGAGAGCCGCATCAGATGGATGGAAGAGCCGCATGCGGCTCCAGAGCCGCGGGTTGCCGACCCCCGATCTATGGAGCGTTCGCTGGATAAAAATTTCCTTTTTCTGAAAGGCTGAGCTTGCCTCTCTTCTTTTACCCTCTGGAACCCTCTATCCTCACTAGTGAATTAGTTCATCTGGTGTCTGTTATTGCACTGCTTTAGTCACTTTAATTAATTCACATTTTTGTGCATGAACATTTCACATTGTATATATTTGAATTTCTGCTATTTCTCATCATTCTCTTTTGTACCAAAATGCCAAGACAAATTCTTTATAGCTGCATGAAACTATTGAGCGTCTGCTTGGTTGTTCAGTTCAGTTAACTTAAATTTAAGAATGTGTTCCAGCATTGCATTCTTCTTACTGAAAGACATGCTAGTATTTATTCCCATATCCCAAACATTTTCATTTTAAACATTAATCCCATGACATTGGGTTCAGTCTTGTAATTTGCAGCTATTGAGTAAGGCGACCTGAACGGACAGAATACTCTTTGTGTTTTGCTTTCCGCGATAAAACTCACCAGCCTTCAGCCTGATGAGTCACATTTTCGCACCTTTAGAGAAACGTCTCCAGGCCTTGAGGAAAACGATTGTGCAGCTGAATTTATTAACTTAAAGACGAGCATTTCACCACAGAGATAGACACATTCACCCCGACGATGATTCACCCTGTGAGGTGGTATAAAGGGAAGGAAAGTAAAAGGCCATTCAATACTGTTTCCACAACTACCAACGTGCTGTGAAGCAATAACAGGTCTCTGGAGTGAGAAAAACAAACACTCAGGAAGATGTTGTCATTGGGTTTTCTAATTTTATACATGTGTGAGATATTTTTATATAGCCCAGAAGGTTCAACGAAACTCAAAAGCAAAAACAAAACCTACAACGAAAGTAATAATAGAAACGAGGGAAAGAAAATAAATAAATAATAAACTTTTGGAGGGCGGGGTGTTACTGTGACTGAGTGAAACAAAGATGGCGATAGCTTGTTTGAAACAGCTTTGGCATCAACTTTGGACTATTTAGTCGTGGGCTTTTCTTTGAGTCAAGAACAGATAGAGGTACTTAAGTCCTTTATTTAGAAAAAGGATGTATTTGCACCTTCGACAGTGTATGGTGGACCACCCCGTTGATTGACATCTGTGGCAGTGAGAATGTCACGTTGTTGTCCAATAGCATGTGGAGACAGTTTGAAGGACAATCGTAGACTCTGCCCCACGACTGAGCTCTGTCTATGGGTCATGGCATATATTCACATATATGGGATGGCTTGCCAGGCCATGCTTTATGCTTTGACTAAATCGTGCATGACTAGGCCAGTGAAAGGGTTTCTTTTAGAGGGGGCTGTGTTAACAAATAATAACATTAAATCTCTTGTTTCTTTTTATTAACAAAAAAGTAAAATTTTTATTTTACAAATGATTTTCTGTTTCGTTGTTCATTGTGTGAATGGAGAACACTTGGGATAAAGATGGCCCCCTGATGAGTCTTCCTCAGCAGGAATGAGACAGTCTGACGCCAGGAATCCTCCTAATGACCCAAACACTGAAGCAATAAAACAGCAACAACAAAAACACACTGCTGAGATTTTCTCTTCCATCAAACCCGACTAGACTCTCTTCACCCCGACTCGAATGACATCAGTGAGAGAACGCGTTGCTTGGCAACCTGCTCAGCCGTGTTTACATGTTGTAAAAGCAGAACTCTGACCCCTCCAATCTCCACCGTCACCACGGCAATGGATGACGGGGGTGGGGCTAACACAAGTCCCACCCACTGTTCTCTTAACTCTGCACAAGATTTTTCCATCAAACTGCTGAGTGGGTATCCTTGAAATAAGGTTTTTTTTTTACGTTTACTGGACTAATTTCAGGATAAGATTTTTATTAAACAGGTTTGTTATATATAGTAATCACATAAAATTACAATTGTTAGACTTTAAAACATTTTAATGTGATTTTTGTGTGCGTTGTGTAGAAGAATCACATGAGTGTCATGTGGAAGAAGCCAATAAAACCAACAAACAAGGACATTGGATTAAAGTTAAAATATCAAGAAAGAAGTCTAAATATTTTCCAGAAAATGATCAAATAATGTTGAGTCGCGTTCTGAATACGAGGCAACATCCAGCAGTGTCTCCAGAGGATCTCAGAACATTTAGATTTAAATTTTACCGTGTCTTCCTTATTTTTATTTTATGCATTAAAATCTTCAGAAAACAGAACAATTTGTGAAGTAGAATAAGAACAGAGTGGCTCCAACTCCTGAATTTTACTGATCAGATTTATACAACTCTCCCTGATGGAACGAAAAACACTTTTATTTTAGGTTCATGAATACATAGATGCTACATCACCTTTAAAGAGAGCAGATTAACCAAATTCCTGTCAGATGGAGCAGGTTTAGAGGGAAAACAGTGACATTTAGTGGAGTTTGGGTTTCAACATAATCCAAACAACTAAACGAAACCAAATGAAAACATTGATTTGGATTAAAACACGCCCACACAGCTGCTCTTATTGCCTTTTTATTGTCTACAGGGATGTACAGCAAACAGTCCAGCACCGTTGCTGATAGCCTCCAAGAAAAGGTGCTGAAAATCGAGTCTAGAACATTTATCGACAGGTATTAAAAACACGCTCGACTCCCGCCTCCTCTTAACCTGGTTTCCACAGCAACAGAACCACTCAGTCCTTAAAAAAAACAAGAACAACAACAAATAATGTGGGTACCTTTGCATTGGCACAAATAACAGCAGCAGACGTGAGAATTTACTCATTTATTTCAGCTTTTTGGGGGTTTTAAGCTGCTTGGAGATCCAGATGTCAGGAAACCTTTTTAAAACAATCATGAAGAGATCAAAAAAACTTTTTCAACTTCAGTTTTGGATCTTTAGCTGCTCAGATATGAGTTTATTTTAGTCCACAGACACAAGTGAGTGACAGAAGACCTGTATGGTTAACATTCAAGTCAGTCTGGTCTTTAGACAGAATCTAATTTAGAAATCCATTTATTTTTATACCTGTTATTTTTCTTTAGTTCTGGACTTCGGTTATTTCCATATTAAACACCAGCGAGGATAAACATTGCTGTTAATTTGCACTAGACTTGATGTGGGCGAGTACAGCAAGAGTACCATTATCAAAGCAACAATATCCATAATACGGTTCTAAAAAAGCTTGTGTGAATATTAAACAAGGTTCTTTTTGCTTCAGACATGAAGGCGTTTCTAATTACCTTTTACATGTTTAAGAGTAGGAAAGGAGGGCATAGGGCAGAGCCGTGGATGTCTGATGAGACCCAGGCCTCCAGGCAGGCCTGCAGGAGAGCTGAGCGGAAGTGGAAGCAAGACAAACTTCATGTGTCCTATGATATTTATAAAAAGTCACTTTTTGATTACCAGGAAGTGGTACGACAGGCTAGGATCAGATACTATGCCAACATTGTGGAATCAAATTCTCATGACCCACGCACTCTCTTTAAGGTGATTGATTCAGTACGGGAAACTGCAACTTCTGCCTCCAGGTCCACGGCTGCGATGGCCGGGACATGTGAAGATTTCCTTCACTACTTTGTGGACAAGATAGCGATGATTCGGGCTGCTATTGTAGGCCGCACTCCTGTTTTCGTGGCACCTATGCCACTTGGGGCAAACCTGCCAGCCTTCCAGACTATATCTATGACAGAGCTAGAGGAACTTATTTCTAAGCAAAAACCTTCTGGTTCCCCTTATGATGTTCTTCCCCCAAGGATGCTTAAGGAGGCTTTTTCTGTTCTGGCCCCTTATATACTGGTTATCCTAAACACCAGTCTGGCCTATTGTGTTGTCCCCCTTACTTTTAGATGTTTATGTTTAGATGTTTATGTGCTTAGCAGACGCTTTTACCCAAAGCGACTTACAATTTTTTTTTTTTTTTACCTATGTTGTGATCTGTGGGGGAAACCGGAGAAAACCCACGCATGCATGGGGAGAACACGCAACTCCACGCAGAAAGGCCGCAGCCGAGTTTCGAACCTGCGACCTTCGTGTTGCGAGGCAACAGTGCTAACCACTGCGCCACCATGCAGCCCAAGAGGGCTGTTGTACGGCCACTGCTGAAAAAGAAGGGGATGGAGGAAACTGTGTTAGCCAATTACAGACCTATCTCACATCTACCTTACGTAAATGCTTGAGAGGGTTGTATATTTACAGTTGGCTGCATTTTTAGACACTCATGAACTCTGGGAGATCTGTCAGTCAGGGTTCAGAGCAGGTCACAGTACTGAGACTGCACTTTTAATGGTTCTTAATGATGTTTTTTTTTAGCTTGTGAGGGGGGGGGGGGATGCTGTCATTCTTTTGATGTTAGATCTGTCTGCGGCCTTTGACACGGTCGATCATGACATACTTTTGGATCGGCTACAGCACTGGGCGGGAATTACCGGTGCAGCCCTACAATGGCTATCAAATCAAATCAACTTTATTTATAAAGGACTTTTCATACAAAAAAAATGCAACTCTAAGTGCTTCACAGATTAAAATGTCCCCATAGATCCCATATTCCCATCCCAGCCCCCCTCCCCAAGTATAAAACAATTGACAATTACACTTCCCCTCCCGCAACCAATTTCCAAGGTGAACGTACACTCACCCACACACTCGCACACACACACACACACGTGAACATCAGAGTAAACAATAGGCTGAGTTCAGATTAGTCAGGTAATGGACGACACATCATCAGCGGAGCCATCTGCCTCAGCAGCAACAGATCCACGGCAGCAGCCAAGACACCGGCCCATGACGCCCAGGGAGGGAGGGCGGAGACCCCCACCACTGCCCGGGCACCACCCGAGGAGCGCCCCGGCCGCCGCCGCCGACCACCAGCCCCAAGGCAGAGGGCTCCGCAGAGGAAACACTGGAGGATTAAAATATATAACTGTAAAATAACAAAAGCTAATATGGATAGAAAGTAACTGATAAAACGTGATTATAAAGATAGTAAAAGAAAACATAATCATGTAAAAACACTAAGATGTAAATAAAATAATAAAATTAAGTAAAACAGATAAATTGTTTATATATAAATAAACAAATATGACAAGCGATACAGTTAAACAGACTAGATAAATAGTAATTAGTTAAAAGCTAAGCTAAGTCCCGCCTCCCTTTTTTCCATTTCTTATTGAATAAGTAAAATTAAAGTTTGGTGGGGAGGCCTCTGTGAGAACAGCAGGAGCATTTGAACTCAACCATGTTTCTGTCAAAAATACACATTTAAGGTGATTATCTAAAATTAGGTCATTTATAATAAAAGTTTTGTTCAGCAGAGAGCAAACATATAAAAGAGCCATACTGATAGCAACTAAAGATGGAGTGACTGTGTGATTTACTGGGGGTGAGATTCTTGACAACTGTTTGTCCAATGGATCAATATCAAAGCTTGTAGATGCCTTAGAGGATGTGTGCTCCTGGATGGCTACAAACTTTTTACATCTGAATGACGCTAAGACTGAAGTAATGGTACTTAGCCCTGGCATGTCTACACGCCCATGCAATGCTGTGAATCTGGGCCCTTTGGCATCTAATGTGAAGACCACCATCCGAAATTTGGGAGTACAACTGGACTCAGCCCTTAAATTCGACGCGAAAATCAACCAGGTTGTGCGATCGTGTTTTTTTTACCTTACGCTGACTAGCCAGAATTAAGCCCCTGCTGTCCAGAGTACATCTAGAGACTGTCACACGCTTTTATTCTTTCAAGGCTCGACTACTGCAATGCATTGTATGCCGGCCTTAGTCAGGGTGAGGTAGCATGCTTGCAGTTAGTACAAAACTCAGCCGCTAGGTTCGTGACAGGCGCTAGGCGCAGGGAGCATATCATCCCTTCATTGGCTGCCTGTGCAATACAGGGCAAAATTCAAGGTCTTGGTACTGCCATACAAGGCCTTACAAGGAACTGCTCCAGCATATCTTGGCAACCTTTTGCATAGACATGCCCCCTCGAGGGCCCCTCGCTCAGCTGGCAGGGAGCTGTTGACGGTTCCGCGCACTAAGTGCAGGTCACGGGGGGACCGTGCGTTCTCGGTGTTGGCACCTGCACTTTGGAACCAGTTGCATTTGGTGGTACGTCAGTCACCTTCATTGGGGGTTTTTAAGACTCACCTTCAGACCCATTTTTTTGTCAAGGCATTCCAGGATTAGCAATTTTTACCTGGTTTCGTTGCCCCGGCCTCTTAATCTTTTTCAGGATTTTATTTATTGTTTTTACTCTCCTCTCTTAATTATTTTTTATGTTGGTTTTATGATTGCTATATTTCATTCTGATGGTTTTATGTTTTTATTGTGTTGTGTTCAGCACCTTGGGCGTCTGCATTGGTCGCAGAAGGGGCTTTATGAAATGAAATGGAATGACCGTCATCTGCGGTCTTCTTCAGAAGTGTGACAGGTGTTTGTGTGATTGTGTGACACGTCTCTATCAGCTGTTCTACTGGTGGGCGAGACCAACCCGCATCTGTCAGATCTACCGGGTCGGCCACGCCCACCTCCGCTTTGGAGAAGGGAATCCCAGGTGCGAGACACCTGATAGGACCCCTCGTCTTTGTTCATGTTCCAATGTTCCCGTTTCCTTGTTTCTATAGCCTCCCTGACCCAACGCTTGAACCGGTTGTTCTCCGTGTTGATAATTTTCCCTTGATCCCAGTCCATGATGTGATTATTTCGTTTGGATTGATCTGAGATGGCTGACTTGAGGGTTTGCTCCTCTGCTTTTTTCTTTGTTGTCCTTGTGAGCCTTTCTGTTGTTTCGTTCTCGCATTCCTTCTGGTGCTCTTTACTTCTTGTGTCATATATTCCGGTTTCCCCTATGTATGTTTTATTGCACGACATGCATGGTATTTCGTAGATAACATTGCATTTCTTGTCTGCTTCTATTTTGTCCTTGGGGAGTACTAGTAGCTGTCTGAGTTCCATGTGAGGTTTGACGGTTGTGTTGATTTGTTGTTTTTTGTGGCCCTTTGTATACGTTGTGACTCCCTGGATACATGGAATTGTGATGGTGTCCGTGTGCGTGTGGTCTGGTCTTTGTATTTGTTTTCTTTTTTTGGTCTGTTTTTTTTCTTTTTCTTTGTCTTGTTGTTTTCCTTTTTCTATGGCCCATTTTGGATACTGACAGAGGGTTAGTGCTTGTTTGATGTGCTCTTCTTCCTGTTTGCGGTCTGTTTCATCTGTAATGAAGCTGGTACGTTCGTATACTGGCCTGACTACTGATAGTTTGTGTGCCGTGGGGTGTTCAGATGTCCAAAGCAGATATTGGTCTCTATGCGTGGGTTTTCTGTATATTGTGATGTTTATGCTGCCGTCGTCTGTGTGGTGAATGTTTATGTCCAGAAATGCCATTGTTTTGTTTGTTTCCTTTTCATGTGTGAATTTTATGTTTCCCGTGTTATCGACCGTGTTCAGGTGGTCTGTGAGTTGTTGTGTGAGCCCAGTTTTTATTATTTCCAAGATGTCGTCCACGTATCTCCTCCAGAACAGGGGTCTGATGTGTGCAGGTGCTGTGTTAAAGACCTTTTCTTCCAAATCCTCCATGAAGAACCCACTCATTATGGCTGAGAGTGGGTCTTCCATGGCGAAAGCTTCTTTTTGTCTGTATATTTTACTTTTGTACTGAAAATATGTGGATTTTGCTACAAAATCTAACAGGGTGGATATTTGTCCGGTTCTTCAGTGATCTGTCCGTTTTTAGGCGTTCATGTACTATGTGTAGCGTGACCGACCTGGTAGATCTGACAGATCCGGGTTTGTCGCGCCCACCAGAAGAACAGCTGATAGACGCGTCACACAAACACCTGTGACACTTCTGAAGAAGACTGCAGACGACGGTCGAAACATGTAAAGGGTAACTCGAAACACCTTCATTTCCGAAGCAAAAAGAACCTCGTTTAATATTTAAAAAGAGGACATAATGAACATTGTAAAGGAAGCTTGTGTGAAGTCAGCACTTTAGGCTAAAACCTCAAACAAGCCATTTTCTTTTTTGTTTTGGGGATTTTATATTAATGTGCAAAATGAAGGAAGATCTGGAAAAACACAAAAAAAAATTTTAATAAAATGTATTTAAGCAAAAAGTTTCCTGGTATTTTTTGTTTCTACATTACTGTAAAAAGTCTGGTAAATCTCGTGCTGGTTAATTAGCCGTCTGAGCAATGATGAATATGAACTCAAACTCCTGTGGCTTTGTGCAAAGTTTGCTTCATAGCAGATTTTACTAAAAAGAGTCATGATGATGGTTTTGTAACTAAAACTTGAAACTGCCTCGTGGAACTTTTCCTTCAAACACTGAGTTGGCCCAAGAGATCCCAATAAATACGAAAGCCACAACAACTAAATGTACAATCTGAGTAAAAGCAAGATGGTAGCCCGCACGAATTGTGGTTAACCAGACAAAAGTGACTGGACTCACAAGACCACAGTAGAGTCCCTCGATGATGCAATCGCTGCTGTCTCACATTTACGTTTTTGATGTAATATTGGCATCACCTGCATTTAAGCAGGTCCAGTTGACCAGAATTTCCATTTGATGCTAATTGATTTTAGTTTTTTTTTTAAACTCCCATCGTCTTTTGTTTTGCGTTTCCGTTTTACTATTTTGTTCGACTTTCTGAGCCACCATGAAAACCAGTTTGACTGACAGCTCAATGACTGGAGTGGGGAGGTGGACTAACTGGGGTTAGGGTTAGGGTAACCCTTACCCTACGTTCTGTCCATGGTAAAGGCATTAAACAGCAGGAAACAACATCAGCTTATCGATGTAGAGCTAAATCCAGTAAGTACATAAAAGGTCAGTTCTGGTCCCAACTAACACTAATTAAATTAGTTCGTTTTTTACTGATTGAGCCTTGAAATGTTTAATCCTAAACATATTAATTAATAATAAATATTTGATTGAATCTTTTTTACTTTTAGAAAACAAAAGCTTCCACTCAAATAAAAAAATAGCCTATTTTCAATTTAAGCAAAATGTATCATGAACATCTGGTTCTCAGCAGTTTAAAATAAAAAAATAAAACACACGTTTGTATCCGGCAACATGATCCCACCCTGGATTTGTCTGAGTGGGAAAATAAAGCGGAACTACCAGGAGAAATAAATCGAAACAAAAAAATGATTCCAGGCGTCCTGCCTCAAGAAATAAACGCACTTTTATCAAATAAAGAATTGTACAAAGTTATTGCGTTTCCATGCTCTGTATCTGAAAGCCAAACTCTCCTAAAAAACTGCAAAAATATCTATACACTGGAGACAAAAACATCTTAGTTCTGTTTGTTTAAAATAGAAGTGGCGAATTAAAAGAAAGCCGATGAAATTCAACCACAAGGTGGCAAACAAAGAATGAAAAGTGCACTAGAATAAATGTAAAAAAAATCATTTGAAATCTTGAATGCAGTTTTTTTAAATCATACAAAAGGAGTGAAAAAAGGTCAAAAAGGCGCCACAGGTTTGTCCAAAGGACTGTCAGCTAAATTTCATAAATAAAACATCCACCATTCTTCATGAGAGTGAGGCTGAATATGGGATTAACTGGCTTTCAGAGGTGATAACTTTCAGGTATGAAGGCCGAAGGAGGAAGAAAGGAGAAGGTAAACATGGCCGCTGTTTAGATCCGCTGGTAGTGTTGTTCAAACTTGTGTTATTAAAGCTCTAAAACTAAAAGTGTGGGCCACCAGCTCCACACCAAGCTTCATTGTCTCTAATCTGCAGCGGTGCGCCACGTCGAATAAACCATGTACACAAATAAAACCCCTTTTCTGTCAGCTGTTACACCTGCATAGAAAACAAAACAAATAAATAAACACAGAAGACCAGATCCGAGCCGCTCCCAACTCAAACAGTGGCTACTGTTTCCTCTAAAAGATAATACAGAAGTAGTATTGATGCAAGACTTGTTAATAATATTACTTTTTTTGTTTTGTTTGTGTTTTTTAGAAAAGAAAATCTGTTTCTTCATGAAGCACACTTCCTACTTCCTCCTGGTGTGCCGTGGGAACGGCGGTTAGTCTTCATCATCGTCGACCACGGGGTCCGTGTCCCAGCACGTGATGTCAATCTCTAAACACAAACACACCGGGGCCATTTCATTAAAGGTTCTCTAAAAACAAAATTATATTCTTAGACACATTTCTTATTATTTTATTTTTTCTTACGGGAACAAACAGGATTACAAAACTTGTAAATCACCAGATTCACCGATAAAACGGCTTCAGACAGAAAGAACACTTTAATTTTGCTCAGTCTTTGAAACAACCATGACCAAAAAGTGGCTCGAGGGCCATTTGCAGCCATTAGAGTGATTTTGTGTGGCCTTCCCAACGACATTTGTAGAAAAGAGAAATGTATTTTTCTTTACAGAACTAAATATTTAGATTCCAGCTAAATATTTATTTTGGAGCTAAACATTTTGTTTGCAAAATCAACATTTAGGTTTAGCCCCCAAATAAATATTTAGCTGTTATCAAAATATTTTATTTGGAAACTAAATATTTAGGAGGAGGCCTAAAGGTAGACCCAGGACACGTTGGGGGGACTATGTCTCACCTGGCCAGGGAACGCCTTGGGATAAATGATAAATGACCTGCACTTGTATAGCACCTCTCAGAGTAAGAACTCCAAAGCGCTTTACACTACAGTGTTTCATTCATCCATTCACACACACATTCACACACTGAACCGATTCCCCCAGGGGAGCTGGCTCAAGTGGCTGGGGAGAGGGAAGTCTGGGCCTCTCGGCTACTGCCCCCGCGACCCGACTGGATGGATGGACTGTAGCGTAGACAATCTACATACTAGAATTAACGCTGTTTGCTATCAGCTTTGTTAGATTCTGAGAAAAGATCTGACACATTAGCATATGAACTTATATCATGCATAAGTATCTAGGATATTAATCCAATCGATAGAAGTTCATACACCAACTGTCTTGGTCTATATTTTAATCCAAAGATTCATTTTTAATTTAAGATAATTAAATTTAATAGCAAAAGTTTATTTATTAAACAGAAGACTTAATGTATTCTTTGTTTATTCAGTAACCAAATATACACCTTTCTGTGTTTCATTTCAAAGAAGAGTCAGGTTTAAAAAGTTAAGAATTTGTTGCTAACAATTTTAAAGATGACAATTTGTAACAGCTTTGATATTAAAAAATGTTATTAAAAGCAAACCTGTGTCTTAATGGAAACTAAAATGAAATGCGATGTTTGGATGAATCTCAGAAGATTTCTTTCAGAGAGAGAAACGCGTTCTGGGTGGAAAATACTGTTTTGCAGCTAACTGAGTTGTTCTTAGAGAGAACAGCATACAGACGCCATCTGTCGGAAAGTGTCTACCTCACCCAGTTCAGGAGACCCTCTGTGGATCCGAGATGTCAGGTGGAGATGGTGTCCTCCGAGCACGAGGTTGGTAGAAGGACCTCGGTGCGACTCAAATCGGTCCTGAGATGTCTCCGGGTCACAACGACTGATGAAACTATTTGCGTCTCAAAATCAATAACTCTGAAGGAGTTTTGGTCAGCTGGTTACAGGTGCGTTTATTCGGAGCAATTCTATCGGCGTGACAGAACAGCATATGGGCCATTCCCATCTGTACCGGGCCGGGTAGCGCAGGTTCTTTACATATCTGGGTGGCCTGGTATTTTCCCGGGCCAACCAAGGCTCATTCTCAGCCCTCTTCTCGAGGGGGTCTGCTTCAGGCCGACCAGGGCCAACACACCCACTGCTGACAGCAAATTCACACCTTCCATTAGAGCAAGCCTCTGATTGGTGGGTAGAATAAGCCCACATGGGCTTAAGACAAGGATGTGTGGAATCAACCGGGCCAGGCTGGGGCCGACTGGGGCTACCCGGCCCGGGCCGACCTGGTACAGATGGGAATGGCCCATTAGTGAGGCTTCAGGCGGCCGACCCTCGTCCTGTGGTTGGTTCAAGAATTGGACTTGAGCTGCGGAGATTTAGTTTTAACAAAACCTCAGAACACGCCCTCTCAGCGTCAGAAAGCTTGTTGTTATGGAGCTTGTTGTGAGAGCAAGTTAACTTTACCCTGGATTCAGTTCTGCATGATGTGCACATGTGCAAATGACCTTCTGGTTACTGATCAAACATTACGGATTATCATAAATAATAATTATTATTAACCCAAAGAATAAGTCATTTCAGTAATTAAATACATTTATACTGAACCATGATGATTATTTATGATGATTATTATATGATGATTGTAATAAACAGTAAAAAGAGTTTATTAAAATTATATTTTAAAATCTTGAAGTGTCCTTAGTCTTGCGGAGGAACAGCAGACAGATAAAAGATGGTGTTTAGCAGACTTTACAGCTCCTGTGATGGATAATCTGTGGGACAAAGTACAGCTCGACCCAGCTGGGGAAGTGTGACCTTTGGGACACAAAATGAGGCCATTCATATCGCTACAGGACTAAATATTTGATTTGGAGCTAAATATTTAGTTTGTAAACTAAATGTCTTGCTCCAAATTAAATATTTAGCTACTATATTACACATTTAGGTTAGACCTAAATATTTAGTTTGGAAACTAATTTTGTAAACTATACTGGTGCAACATTCCTAGGACCTAAATGTTGTGTCTAACTCCACCCACATTTCCTGTTTGAAAAATGCACCCAAAGGAGGTGTGTCAGACACAGAAGGTAGTGCTGTGGCGGTGACTGACAGCTGTATGAAGTTTGCTGTTCGGTCATTTTCAAACTTGTGAAAAATCTAATTAGAAGTAGTTTGTCTCACCTGGGGGCTTGTTATAAAAGATTGGTGCTGGCTTAGCTGAGGACTCCTCTGATTGGCCAAATTCTTCCTCCTGTGATTGGCTGAAATATCCCTCACTTGCCTGAAAATAGAGGCAGAAAAATAAATTGAATTGAAAATATATAAAGACAAAACTTTGATGGACAGCAGCAGTTTGAGTCCATTTGACCTGTGTTCCTTCTTTCAGTAGTGTCTCCCCATTGGTCATCAGCAGCTGTCCATCATCCAGATCCTGCCCCTCCCCAGAGGCATGCTGCAGTGCATGCTGGTAGCTGAGGGTCATCTGGTCAGAGCCAGTCACGTCCACCAGACTGGATGGGTCGTCTTCGGTGCCGGTGCCCGAGCAGAAGCTCCCGTCAATCATCTCGTCGAAGCTGAGGAGGGGCTGAGGTCTGCCAGCGGCGGCGATAGGCTGGATGTCGTCATGAAGCACATCAGAGTCTCCCATCAGGTCTACCAGGTTGGAGGACTGAGAGGTCTGAGCAAGGTTGGTGGTAGGGTTGGAGCTGCCATCCCACAGATCGACCAGGTTGTCTGTCTCGGACTCCCACGGAGAAAACCCGGAGATGTCATGGGTCTGTGGGGCGACACTCTGCACGGGTTTGGTGGGTGCTGACTCCTGTAGGGGCTGTTTCTGCTCCGGCTGAGGCCTCGAATCTGAATTAAGAAAGGCCAAAACACTTAAAAGAAATATTTTTAATGTGATTGTAATGTCCAGGCTGCTGTGCTATGGAGACATCTCCATATTTCTTTTAGAAATGTTTAGGTTTAATAGTGTTTTTTTTTACTCATCTTCAGTGCTTACATAATAAAAAATGCTCTACTAAACAGCTGATCTGTAGCTGAAAGGCTAGAGGGCTGTATACCTTGCAAAAAACAGGGGAAATGAAATAGTTTTAATTAAAACAGTTCTGAGTATTTCGGTTTCAAAATCTTTAGTGAGTGACATCATCACAAAATCAACTAAACGGTGTATAGTTTATGTTGGCTGAAGAACGACTCGTTAGAAAAAACCTTTCTACTGTGAAAAAGTCCCATGACAAAAATAATCTCAATAATCCTGTTTTATGTTACCACGTTGACACCCTTCACTCTTATATAATCAATTTAAAATACAAACTGTGTTTTAAATTTCAATATCAAATATCCTGTTTGGCAAGAGATTAACACAATAAGGAAATAAACGTAAGGTAGATGAGGTTCCTGAAAGCAAACCAAAAGGGTTTGGCATTACATGATGGATGCCTAAACAAAAGGAATTGCTTGTTTGAAATAAATCAAACCAAACCCCTCGTACCCCACTCACCTCGATGATTCTCCTCCTCCCTGCTGAAGTCCTCTTTAATCGGTGTTGTGACTATTTTAGGAATGGGCGAAACGGCAGCCATGATACACTCTGTGCTCATTTCATCACAGTCATCGTCGTCGTCATCCCCTGCAGAAAATAAAATTATACGTTTAAAAAATAAATGTCAAAAAACACGGCTTCTCCAAAATGTGACCGCTTTTTACTTCTACAACTAATCTGGTGTTTTAAAACAAGATCATTTACAGTAAATCCCATTTTTTTATTGTTTCCAAGACCGAGATTTTGTTGGTTCATCTCTTTTGGTTACTATCTCGTGACTTGGGGTGGGCGATATGGCTAAAATATTTCCTTTATTCCAATAAATTCATGCTTTAATCTTCACTATTTGTTAAATTTCAGCTTTATAAAACAAATGTGTTACTGAACAATGCAACCACACCATTTCCCCAAGTAAAAACAGCCCAAAAACAAATAACAGCTGTAGTTATTAGATCAGTAATTAGCTGCTTTACGCTAATGTGCTAATAATGCTGTTATCTGGTGATTAACCTAATCAACTCACTGCTGAGTCATGGTAACAGACTAGAACTAAAATCACCACCAAGTGAACACTTCTTCAGCAGTATATGCTTTATTTTTATAAGTACATACTTAAGTGATCAGGCTCAGAGTGAGTCACATCTAAAATGGTCTGGGCGGAAACATGCTCTCAATCTTTCAATTAAATGTGATGATTTTACAATCTCTCAGCTCCGGAAGATGATCGATGCATAAAAATCTTCACGATTTTATATTGCCATATTGCCCAGCCCAATTCATGAATACTAAAGTTACACAGAATCCAGACGTACGCTGATGTTTGTGGATTCCAGTAAAAAGTGGATCTTTGAAGCATATGTTGTCATCGAAAATAAAACGCATCCACAAAGATTCAATATGTCTGAAACAATTAGGCTCACTGATTTAGTGTGAATCATCACTAAAGCCAGTATCTGTCCACGACTTGGACACAGAAAATTGCAAGAAAATTTAGACAGAATTTCTGTGCAACATTTTTGTATTTCTTAACATTTTCTGAATTTCCTCCCAATTTCCCCACACTTTGTTTGCTATTCTGTCTCCAGCCACAACCAAAACTGCATATTTCTGATACCACAAAAACTCAGTTGAAGGTTTTGAGAGATTTAAAATCCATTGAGATATTTTGGAAATGTTCTCACCCTTGGTACCAATGGTCATGGCCCAGTGAAGATACTGGCTTTACAACGAAAACAATCAAAATAACAAACCCATTTTTCCGATGTTTTAGGAGTTCATGTTCATTATAGCCAGGCATACTGATCAGAGGAAATCTTATTTTATCAACACACAAAGCCACAGATGAAGAAATATATACAAAATGTAAAATGACAGATAAAGTTAGCTCTTTTTACCCAACATATTTAGAAAGTGATGATTCTGATGAGCTAATTAATTCATTTTGAACACATGAAAACACTAAAACCCTGCTGGAGAAACCAGCCTAGACCAGCATTTGTTGTGTTTGGGTGCTGATGATGGGGTGCTAGCATACTAAGCCAGCACCAACGTATGCTACTAGCCGGCTATGCTGGTCTGGGCTGGTTTTCCAGCTGGGAACCTTCTCTTCTTCTTAAAGGATCCCATCCACACTACTCCAGAATTTTTAGAGAAAATGGATGAAACAATGACAGTGTTCTACTTTACTTAATGCATCTCTGAATATTAAACTTTGATTCTGTTTGAAATTGATCTGAGTACCAAGTTCTTCCTTTATTTATGGATATATGAACTTCTTCCGGCTCTTGGAGGGTGCAGACGCTTTTTTCCTCCTCTCCTCCATATCTTATCCTCAAGGCCTTTGTCTGTCTGTGTGTGCTGGGTGCACGGCTGCTTCTGCATATTTCTGGAAACTGGAAACTGAAATACACTTAAACGGATCTCGTCAGCTGGTCTCTCAACGCGGTTGATAAAAATTTTTCAACGATGAGAACGGGAGAAGGGGCTCCCAGATGCCCCGCTGGTACAGACCCAGTTGGACACATCATGGACTCCTGGAAACAGTGGAACTTGATTTGTCTTTCTCAGCTGACGGTGGAGGACTCTGAAGATGTGTGGATATTCGTGGTGTTGGTGTCAGGTTTCCTGCTCATTGGCCTTGGAGGCTACCTGGCTTACCGGAAAATTAACGAGCTGTCGAGGAATATCGGCCTGCTCCTGGAGCTCAGAGATGGATTGCACTGCGCTGTGAATTCACAGACTCACATAATTGTCGAGATGAATCGTAAGCTTGGAACTTTGGCGGAGATTCATTCTTTGGTACAAAAGATGGATGCCATCAAGGAGAGAGTGGACGAATCAGCACAGATAGGGATAGATTAACGTCCATTATTGGGATTCTGAGAGGTGAGGACCAACAAACTGTAAGACAGAGAGGAAATTATCTCTGTCTGGCCCCAAAACAATTTCTAATTGGAATCTGGCGTCCTTGAGCCTGCAAGGCTCCAATGAAAACTCCCCCCTCGGTAGATATGTGGAATGTGTCGTCGCTATGGCAACTCAACTCTGTCTCCTTTCCCAGCCTGGGTGGGACTGCGGGAAGGGCGCTGAAACGTTCCAGGGTCACTGCAACCCTCCAACCCTCAATGCTCCTCCCCCTATCCACACTGACGTGACATGCGCTGCTTATATTGTGGCTGCAGGAACTGAAGTGGGGATAGTCCCACCCCACTTAGTGGAGACTTATGTTGTGTTGTCTGGTCTGTTGCATACATGTTTGAGGTGTTTTTTGCAGAGCAAAGCTGCTCTCCTGGTGGGAGGGTAACTCTGAAGTGCCTTTTTTTTCCCTCCACCTGAACCAATCCTCATGTAACCCTCTTATCTCTATTAAGGTAGCGCGACTCAGGGTTGCGAATGACCACAGTCACCAATTCTTGTCATGTGTCTTGCCCATCTATGTCTGATCTCAGAATTGTGTGTACTGAAACTGTAATTTCCCTCTAGGATTAATAAAGTATCTTTGATTTGATTTGATGTCGATATCGACGCCATCACCTCCTAGTGGTTTGGAGGGGATGCTTCTGTCAGAATAATGTGGGTGAACATCTTTTAATGAAACAGATAATATATCTGAAGTAAGTTAAAACCTTTTATTGTTGTGTGACTGGATTTAACTAAAACTATTTACTTAATTTTAACTTTTAAACTTACTTAATTAAAATGGATAAACCTTTGTTTCCTCCAGTTATCTGTCATTTTACAGATTTACTACATCAATATTGGCCACTTTCCACAGATGTTAAAATGGTCTTTACTACTCAGTATTTTGACCTGGGAATATTTCCTTTCTTAGTTGACGTTTTCACTCCCCGTTCACATTTGTTCTCACCATATCTTTTTTTTATTTTCAGTTTTTAAACTCGAGTTTGAAGAATGGTCGACTCTCTGGAAAGTGGTCAGAGTAAAAACTGTACAATATGAACCTTTTAGTATTTCAACCAACAATAACACATATTTACATGAAGTTTACTTGGCAAATGCAAACAATTCCACAAAACTCAGAGGCAAAGATCCACTTTCAGTGAATTGCGGCCCACAGAAAACTCATGACACAATTCAGTCGAACACTCACAGGTTTAGTCGGTCATCGGGGTTGCAGGAGTGTTTAAAACAAAATCAAAAAACAGGAGATGTCGATAAATCGGTTCGCTGCTAATTCAAACCACCCAACATGAAACCATAACATAATTTCACACCAGACTGGACAACATCTAAAGCACAAAAACATCCACCGTAACACACAAATGGCTGCATGGAGGTGGTCTTATAGTGATAATATTGTTATTTATATTTGTTGTCATCTGTAGGCTATTTTAAAAACTCTACTTTGTGGGAGTTAGGGGACTTCAACCTCTGACAAAAGCCTACTTTAGGTCATTTTACAGAAGGTAAAGCTACGAAGGATCAAAAAAATTAAAAATCACGGATATCAGTTGTCCAGCCCATGAGGATTCCAGAGAGTATTACTCGAATCAAAGTCTAAATTAGCAGTTAATTTATAAACTTTATACAGTTGATCATCAGTGACTTTTCAGTGTTTTAGTTGGCAGGTCAGCACAGGGTATCCGCGGGTCCTTAAAAAGTCTTAAATTAGCTTTTCCAAATTTAAGGCCTTAAAAATCCTTAAAAATGAAAAAATAATCCTTAAATACAGTTTCCAAAGGTCTTAAATTACCAAAGACCCAATAAACAAGATTCTTTTATTTCTCTAAAATTTTCGTAAAATTCTAGTTAGTGTTCAACATTTTTGTGTACGATGTTGTCGTAAGCGGAACCGTACACATTCAGTTGGTTGTGAAAGGGGGCTATTTTTAAATGAGCACATTAGCTGATTAAGCTAGTGGGAGCTTGTGCCATGGGGAAGTGCAAGTTTAATGGTCACTGGATGGCTAAGCCCACGTTCGCAAGGCAATAGCTGGAAAGTATAGCTTAAATTTAATTTTAAAAACAGCTTAAATTTGGTCAAAGTGGCCTTAAAAAAAGTCTTAAATTTGGCTCCCTTAAACCTGCAGATACCCTGCAACAGCTTGGTTTATGTTACTGAAACGAGAACTAAGGTCCACTCAGAAAACTAAAGGAATATTCTTAAAATATGGTGATGTGTAAACAATATTATTTCCTGTTATGACATTTAACATTACTATTATTATTCTCTACCATTATTCATTTACATGTTTTTCCCATATTGATCCAGATGAATAAAAACAGCACTTTGTTTTGGCGTCTCTGTTGCTGTGGAAGTTTAAAAATCCTCTTTGTTTTTACATATTTTACATGAAGACTCGAATAAGCCTTTTTCACACCGATGTGGAACGGATTTGGTCCGGTTTCTGTACCTCATAGACAAAAAAATCACTGAGTCCAATCAGAGCATTCACACTGGCTGTGATGCGTTGCGGATCCGGAGCGCCAAAAAGTTTCTGTATGGAATTCCCTCCCCAATTGTCATGAAGCTAAACGTGTAGAACACTGACAACCCCAGTTGTAATGATTATTTCTGATTCTAACAGGTCACTCTGAGTGTTTCATGCAGACTGAACATAAAAATAGTCTCCTACACCTATCTCCTGCATTAGCTTCTGATAGAAAACAGATGGTAAAACTGTAGAATGCGAAAAGCCTGACCGATCTACGTCACCCTGTCACTAACATTCATGGATTCACCCATCTTAATTCACGACGGGTCGACCAAGTTATCGGTCTCAGACGCAGAGAATGTCTCGGTTAGCAGAAGTTAACTGTTAGCAACAGCAACTCCACCACACAGCAGAACTCCTCCAGGCTAGTGTTGGTGGTGGAGATAAAACATCAACATGGCAGAGCAACCAGAGTCAGCGGTAGAGTCGTGTTGCTGTTAGCCAATCAGAGGAGAGGCATTATTTCCTACTAGAGACACGTTTTAATTAAATGAGTGTTTAACACTTTTAAAGAAATGACAACAATCAGACAGGAGTGGAAACATTTAAAAACCAACCCCTTGTTATGATCCGCAGCCAGTTTGGATGGAAGTCCGTCTGGAATCCGTACCGAAACTGGACCGCCTCAATATTGCATTTGGTGTGAAACAGGCTTAAGAGTTTGATGCTTTTTTAAAGAAAACTTTTAAATATATATATTTAAAGATCTTTGGACACATATTATATTCATCCTTCTTGTTTTTGCCTCCGGCGTCTGTATTTGTAGATGTGGTTGATGTCTGGAGGGAAATCTTCCACCGAGCCGAGTCTGGTTCTGGTCCTCTCACCGCCCCGTGCGGTACCTACCGGCTGCAGCGGCGGGCTGCGTCCGTGCGTGTGGAGGCGTGCGGAGGGGCGACACGCCCCTGGGCGGGGTGGTAGTACTGGGGCTGCTGGGATTGTGCTGCTGCCTCAAGAATGGGCTGTCCAATCGGCCTGGCGGTCACAATGACACACAGCAGCCAAACAAGGACACGGACACAGAAACATGGACATGAAGCCACGGACCAGGACAGAGAGGAGCGACAAGACACAACGGACAGTAGGGAAAAGAAGTCGAGAGACAGGAAGTTCAGTGTGTCCCAGAAGACAGAAAAAATACAAGAAAAATATGGAAAAGGTGACAAAACACAGATGAGTCCGTGATTAATTAAAAGATGTAAGGATGGTGGACATGAACAAGAAGGTCAGGAAGGAGAAAAAGACAAAGAAAAGTGATTAGAGTGGTTTTAAACAGGACTGCAGACAGCATGCAGTTAGCCAAACATGAGATGAGTTTCTGCTGCACTTGAACATATTTGAGCTTTTACACCAAATCAACAACTTATGTTATTTCAGATATTTTTAGTGTCGTCAATTTCTTCGCACCATCGTATTTGTTGGACCTACCCACGCCCTATGCGGCTGAGCGCTCGCCACAGTCAGCTGACCACCTGCAACTCCGCACCACAACTAAGAACCAGAAGGCAGGGGGGAGCGAGCCTTCATGTGTGTAGCCCCCACTGCCAATCCCCATTCGACTGTCACCATCCATTGGTCAAGTCATGGTTGAAAACGCACTTTTACGATTTGGCCTTTAGATTCTGACTCTTTTTAAAGTTCTTTTTTACTTTTTTATTGTGTGTTTTGATTGCTGTTTTTAAAGGTTTTTACTGATCGTTTTATTTGTATTTTTTAGGGCCGGGACTTTAACGCTTTAATTATGACTAATTAATTAGAAAAAAATAACGTGTAAAAAAAAATTAACGCATTTAATTGCAGCTTGCATTTCGAGGAAGGCGGAACCTTTGTCATTGCACGACTTCCTCGTAGACTGAATATCACTGACGCACACAACATTGCACAGTGCTAATGGCTACTAAAAGAATAAAAACAGAAAGAAATTGCCTTGCTTGGACTGATGCAGGATTAAGGAAACACGTCCGCCTTTTTTTTTTAACTTGGAAAAAAATCTTCCAGACAACAACGGAGTCCGTGTCGCGGACATTTTTCAGAGATCGTCTCTGCTTCGGCTGCCCGGTGGCATCGGAAACTTTACAAAAGTTGCGGTAAGCTATATTTTTAACATTTACGTAACATCTGTGCAGCGCTGAAAGCACCAGACAGAATAATTCTGTGCCCTAACAGTAGTTTATGAAAGTAGTCGGACAAACGAGCGGCACCTGGCTGCCGCTGGGAGAACGCTCCGTGTTCTCACTACTCTGTAAACAATCACAAACAACGTGTCTTAAAGTTGAAAACAGACGTTTCAGTTAAAACAGAAACACTCTGAAACTTTTCTGATGATTTTCTAAACAGTTCTGTCGGGGAATTATATGTTTCTGAGACGAGTCACTGTCTAAACATCACATGCATTACTATCATTAAGCAGTGAGGTGTGTTGAAGCTGTCATCAGCTGAGGGGCGGATGCTTAAGTAAATCGGGGCAGCGAGGAACGAGGAAGTTTTGATCAGGCTGGAGATCACACCAGATTCGCTGCTGCAGGCGTGAATCTGCGGGTCTGCAGCATCCCCTTATTAACGTGACATCAGGACTTCCCATGTAAGGAAGGTCTGCTCACCTGTTCGTCAGATCATTATTTCCTCACCATGATCTTTTATCTTCCCATCATCCTCCAGTCATCCAACTGGAACCAGTTAGTGTTCCTGATCATTCTCAGAATATGTCACGCCTGCTCTGGTGTTAAAAGTTAGTACATTTAATGTCCTAGATCATGTTTGTGCCTGTTCTACTGTCATTTTGAAGGATTATTATTTATGTGTGTGTTTTTACTACATTATGAGTAGAAATTATAATAAAAACTCCCAATTATACAAACAAGTGAAACTGGAAAAATTAGAATCTGGTGCAAAGTCAAATTTATTTCAGTAATTCAACTAGACAGAGAGACTATTTAAAGGCTTAGGAACCATTTGCAGGTGTTTTCTATTTGTAATTATAAATTTTAGTTGATTTGGGTCTTGTTTCATATCACACAGTGACATTTGAATAATTAAAAAACATTTTTTATTAAAAGCTTTAGTTTACAGTAATAACCATGTCTAATGTTTGATTCTCTGTCTCATAATTTTAATTAAGTTTTGCTTTGAGAGCACATTTTCCTGAACGATTAAAATGCGATTAATTTAGATTAATTAATTACAAAGCCTCTAATTAATTAGATTATTTTTTTTAATCAAGTCCCAGCCCTAGTATTTTTACACGACTGTTTTTGTTTGGGAGATGCTTTGCTCATCTCCCATGCTGTGCCATAGAAGTAAATGGTAAGGAATGAAAACACCCAATTATACAAACAAGTGTAACTGGAAAAATTTGAATATGGTGCAAAAGTCGACTTATTTAAGTAAATCAACTAGACTGAGAGACCATTTAAAGGCTCAGGAACCCTTTGCAGGTGTTTTCTATTTGCTATTCTAATTTTTAATACATTCAGGTCTTGTTTTATTTAACAAAGTGACATTTGAATAATTAAAACCCCTTTTTTTTCAGAAATTAAAAGCTTGAGTCCATCCATCCATTTTCTTCCACTTATCCATAAGACCTTGAGTTTACAATAATAAAACCTATGTATATTGTTTAAGTCCCTGCCTCATTATTTTTAATTAAAAAAACATTTTTAGGCACCGTTTCTTGAACAATTACAAAGCGATTAATCAAGCTTAATTAATTACAAAGCCTCTAATTAACTAGATTAATTTTTTTAACGAGTCCCACCCCTAGTTTAAATATAAGTGGACCACCTGCTGGTGAAACATTTTACCTGCAATCTAAGCCATCAACTTAAATATGGGATATTAACAAAAAGAAAGGATACTGGGTCCATTGGCTCTTTGTTGACTTTAGTTTGGTTTAGTTTTTCAGACTAGAAGAAACAAGACGAGATTCTGTCTAGAAGTCAGATTGTGCTGATTTATTTCTGGTCATAAAAGGTAAGATGGTGGTCAGCAAAGGGAGCAGATGCAAAGATTGTGACCATCATTGTTTTAATTTTTTCAGATTTGAATCATCAGGCGGAATAAACGTCATCAACAAATGTGTTTCTTTCAAATGTGGCTCCATTTACGGGAAAATACTCAGAATAGGATCTGCATGAAGCATTGGCAGGCTAACACCAAACTGAACATTACATTTTATTACTTTTGTGCTGAGTTTAGAAATATTTAAATTTGAGTCTTTTATAATCATGAAGCTCTCAAAAGTTAGACTTTTATTTTTATTTGTTTGGTTTAATTCATTTATGAACATCTTTGAATTCTTTATAAATAAACAGGGTATCTGCAGGTTTAAGGGAGCCAAATTTAAGACTTTTTAAGACCTTTTTTAAGGCCACTTTGACCAAATTTAAACCATTATTTAAAATTAAATTTAAGCTATAATTTCCAGCTATTGCCTGGAACCGGTGCTAACCACGTCACGAACGTGGGATTAGTTACCATTAAACTTGCACTTCCCCATGGCGCAAGCTCCCACTAGGGCTGCTCAATTAATCGAATTTTAATCACGATTACGATCTGAGTTTTGAACCATTATAAAAACAAAACAAGCCGATAATTTGCTCCTCCCACTTGCGCTGCCCTGAGTTGCAAATGAAGCGCTCCTCCCACAGTGTTGCCAACTTAGCGACTTTGATGCTATTTCTAACAGCTTCTCAGACCCCTTTCTTGACTTTTTAAATCTTAAAAGTACCCAGCGAACACTTCAGAAACATCTCTGGTAACCCTTAGCTACTTTCTGGATAACTGTTGTTGACATTTCCTGCAAGTTAGCTAAACACTCCGCCTGCGATCCAGACCGTTCTTCAGGACATTAGGAAAGGGAATGATGTAGTGATGTGTCGGTCGCTAAAGAAACGGCTCTCAGAGCCGGCTCCCTGTTGGATTAACCAGAGTGAGTGACACACACACCGCACCTGCGGACTCCTGAGCCACTAAAAACGGCTAAATGTGCGCGTGCGGCGCGCTAAACACACGTGCAGCTTGCCACTGATTGCTGTGAGACCGAGGTGGGGGGTGAGGGGTGCAGCTGTGGTTGGGACAATTATTACATTAACTGATGGACTTGTAAATAGTTTATAAATAAGGTAGAAATAAGTTCCTCACGCTGATAACTAATCCCTCTGAGGACACGGTGCTAGTGCACTCTCCTACAGCACCTTGACATGTCTAAATAAATGTTATGCAACATTTTGTGAACATCAATTTATTTGCATTTATTTGTTATAAATGCCACTGTATAATTCTTGCCGTCAGTATTTGCAAGATATTGGTATTTGGGTCTGTACTGGTTAGACATAAATGAGTTAAACCAAGGTCTATAGCCCTTGGGTCATAAACTATGAGCTATAAGTATATTGGTCTTTTTATACTGGGAATCAGGAGTTATTTTAGTGATCATTTTGTTTCTTATTTCTTTTTGTCCTGATTGTGCCCTGAGCAATTTTATGACCGAATAAAAACAAATAAAATCAACATAAATTGAAAAATCGTCCTAAATAATCGAGATCTCATTTACAGTCATAATAATCGTGATTATTGTTTTTGCCATAATCGAGCAGCCCTAGCTCCCACTAGCTTAACCAGCTATGTGCTCATCTAAAAACAGCCCCCTTTCACAACCAACTGAATGTGTACAGCTCCACTTACGCCTACACCGTACACAAAAAATGCTGAACACTAACTAGAATTTCAGGAAAATTTTATAGAAATAAAAAAATCTTGTTTATTGGGTCTTTGGTAATTTAAGGCCTTTGAAAACTGTATTTAAGCATCATTTGTAATTTTTAAGGATTTTTAAGGCCTTAAATTTGGAAAAGCAAATTTAAGACTTCTCAAGGACCTGCGGATACCCTGATAACGCTGGATTAGAATTTTTAAATGCTCCAGTTGCCTCTGAAGTTAAAATTTAAAAACGGAAAAATGTGAATAACGTCACCACAGACAACAATCTGAGGAAGCAGAAGGCTTTGGTTTGAGGGCATCAACCCTGCAGCACAGCTCTCCACACCTCAGACCATCTTCTGGATGTATGAGTCTGAACCTCTGACTGGCCAAACGATGCCAGGCGGCTGCAGGAGGTCAAAGACGGTTTGGTCTGTTCTATAAGCATTTGTTTGTTTATTTTGGTCTAAATGTTCTTGTGTTCTGGAGGACTGAGTGACAAACACCAAAGCGCTGCAGACAAACAACATGCAGGAATATTAAAATCTGAATTAAAATGAGCATCAAAAGCTGTGAGAACAGCTGGTGTCACAGCGCTGCCTTCCTCACGCAGTGGTTACGGGTGAGAAAATCCTTTCAGCTGATTAAATATTTATAGGAATCTCAGAAATAATGAAGTTCTGCAGAAGCAGCAGCTGAAGGAGGTGCAGAGGCAGTGATGCGTGTGTCTGGATCCTTTACCCCCTGAGATGTTTCGTTCAATCAAAACATTAAACCAACAGATAAAACGAGAGGAATCTCTGATTGAGCCTGCTTTATCCAATGACTGAAACTGTCAGGAGGAACAAATGTCAGTCCCTGTTCCTGGACTGTGGGAACAGAAACTCTCGTTCTGGTTTGGTTTGTTTACCGGTCCTGTGGATGGAGACGGGCGAGGTGTCGATGCTGATGGTCATAGCTCTCTCCTTCTGTTTAAAAAACTCTCGAGGATTTCCCGACCGCTGAGCAATGATGGCCTTTGCTTCCTAAAAAATCAGAATAAATCAGGTTCAGGATGCAGCCAACTAATCTAATCCAATAAACTACACTTAACAATGAACCTGCAACATGGACTATTGGACAGGACAGTTATTCTCATGATTACTTATCATAAACATTTCCTTTTTGTTTTCATTAATCCACACATTTAAACCACGTCACAGCTATTGGGCTTCTTCAGGAACGAGATCATTTTTGAAAAATTCTTCATCAAACTGACCTCCACCTCTGACTCCTTCTTGTCCAGGTGAAGGTCCTCGATGCTCGGTTCAGATGCCTAAAGAGAAAAACTGCAGTGAGAACGAAAAAAGACCCAACTGAGTTTTATTTACTCTGCAGCCAGCAGGGGGCAGGAGAGGCTAACATTCTTATGAGTAAAAAAAAATAAAATAAATAAACCAAAGGGATTCTTAGTTTAGAGTTTTGTTTTAAAAGTCCAGACACAGATAATGAGGAAAAATATTTGGTAACACTAAAGTATGGAGCTAAATTAGGGTCAGAATAATTATTGGTTTAATAATTTTCTTAGTGTTTGATTGTAAAAAAAAAAACAAATAAATAAAAATACATGAATGAAATACTAAGACTGTTATAAGTACCATTTAGAATCTGCTAGTACTACATTTGAATATGAAGGTTTCATCAGTATTATTATATACATTTAGTCAATTTAGTAGATCATTTTCTGGTTTTATGTTTTTAATTTTAATTAATTTAAACTTGAAACCTTGTTTTTTTTTACACTTTAATTTTAGATAGTGTTCAGAAAAAAACTGCTTTGATTAACCAGTAACACATCTAACTTGTTGTGAAATTAAAAACCATTTACTCATGTTGATTACTTCAAATTCCTAATAAAAAAAAAACAAGTAAATAAAAGTGAAACTGAACCTTAATCTAAATCCTTTTTTTTACTATTTTGTTTTTGGAAAAAGGAAACATTTTGGCTCTGATTGGACTCCATATTGTGACTAAATTCTATCAACAAGAATGAAATATTTCTAAAGTGCTTGCTTACGACCATGAAGTATGGAAATAATTGATTAGGACACAAATGTTGGAATAAAAACTCACTATGATGATCTGGTTCCGCAACCTCTCTCTGGCTTCCTCCTCTTCCTGCATCTTCTTCCTGTTTACAACAATTATGTATTAAATGTTTATGTTATTATGGAGAAAGGCCACAGCTGGAAAAATAAATGAAACAAGACAACTGCAGAACTGATATCCACACTAGAGGGCAGCATATAGGTAAAGCACAGCTGGATTGGGAGGAAATCTCGTTAAAGGGGTGGAGAAACGTTTCAGATATTCAACATTTTCCAGAACAGGTGGTTGCTGTTTGGCAGCAAAGCCCAGAAGTATATGTTGGAGTAGAAATAAGCAGTTCTGGACAGGAGGACCTGATCCAGCTCTATGAGAACAATGTGGAGGTTAAAACCTTTACTTGTGGATCCACCAGAGATTTTTGATGTTTAAACGCTGTGATAGTGAGAGGACATCTGAGGCTGAGTCCCATTTCCAGTGGTTATTAACTCTTCCTCTCACTTTAATGTTCAGTATACTCATAGAAAATGGGAAAGCCCTTCAAAATGCTGACTTTTCTTTTCTCAAAAACACAAAAACAAACGATGTTGGTACGATGACTTTGTAAACCTGTACCCGACTTGATAACAAAAGCAAAGAAACATTGAGTAAAATGGGACAGACCTAAAGGATCCCAAACCCACACGCCACCTAAAAGGCAAGAAAACCTGCTAGATCTGACCCAAACCATGACAGAACCACCTCTGTGCTTTACATTTGGAGTCAGAACCAAGGTGTCTTTGATCATTTTATCTCAAATAATCAGGAACAACCTTTCATGGGTTCATCCTCAAGTTCTTTTGTTAAAGTGTTCAGTGATGAGAAAGTCCAGTTTGGGCAGTTCTTCCAGCTGTGTTTAGCTTATAGGAACCAGTGTTTGTGTCCAGATGTTTGCTTTACAATACACTTGTATTTCTGTTTGGTCGCATTTCACAAAAGCATATTCTGTTTCTAAAATGTGCAGAAGGTCCCTCACAAATCCTCTTCACATAAACAGTTCATTGGCTGGATGCCCACCTGTGCTCCTCGATCTGCCGCTCCCTCTCGCGGTACCTCCTCTCTCGGTTCTCCTGCTCCTTCTTCTCCAGCTCCATTCGCTCCTCCTCATAGCGCTGCTGCTCTTCTGCAGCCTTCTTCTTCTCCTCCTCCTTCCTCAGCTCCTCTTCACGCTGCAGAGCAAACAGGAAGAAGCTGATTCTAAGATAATGTGGCACTTTTTCCTTTCTTCTTCTTCTTTTCTCTGTTTTGATCCACACGTACCTTGGCCTGCTCCCAAAACTCCTCTCTATTGATTTTCTTCATCTCCACCTCTGCATTAGTCTTCTGGTATACAGTGCCCTGAAACAAAAGTCATACGGAGAAAGGTCAGCTTTCTTTACTTATAAACAAAGAAAATAAATCTGCTTTACAGGTGAGTTACACGATGGGCTCAGGTGATCTGCGAAGGCTCAAAAATCCACACAATTGTATAAAAAATGCAGTTTAGATTGAATTAAACCCAGTTTATTTGAACAAGTCGGCCTTTTTGTGTGTGTTGTACCACATCCGCGTTTTCTTCGTCTCTGGTTTTCAGGCGACTCAGAACCGGGCTCGCCACCGCCACCGTCCCATTGACCAGCCGCTGCCCGATGGCCATTGGGTCGATGTCCTCCAGACTGCTGGCGTTGATGATGACCTCCACGCCCTGCAGTAACAGATTCATTTGGTGGTTGAAAGAAAAATAATTTTATTAAATGGTTTTTTTTTAATCCCAAAGTTTAAACACCAGAGAGCAAACTTTGACGACATCATCCGATGCATCAAATTCGCTCAAACGTTGGAAGCTGCGGAAAGTCGAATTTAATGAGCGGATCTCGTCAACTCCATTTTGGTAGGCTGAAATTCACATCAGCTAAAGATTTAGTTTAAAACAACCATTTCAACATTTGTTTTACAACTTTAACATCCGCCTCATGTTTTGATTATAAACATTTTGAAAAAAAAAAACAACAAAACATGTGGTAACTAAACAATCTAGTATTTAAAACGGAACAATTTACTGTCTCATTTAATTATAAAAACTATATAAATATATATTTTTTATGTAATTCCATGACAATGTAATAAAAATGAAGACATAAAATTGTCCCTCGCCCCCTGTAGGTCCTCCACCAGGGGGCAGTAGACATGTATAGGTTTCTGATGAAGGCACTAATCCTGATGCTCCGTCCGGAGAACGTGGTTTGATGATGATAACGGAGAAGAGGTTAAGATGACCTCACCTTCTATAATGCTAAATAAAACAAAGTAGTGAAGAAACACACGAGTGTGTGAAGTGAATTCCCGGGGGACTCCTATATCAGACCACTGGGCGGGGCTTCAGACTTCCAATCCATTTTAATGGAAGTTTAATTATTTTATTTAACACTGGAGCTGAAGGTTGCATTATTTATACACCTAGAAGCTTCCAGTCCTTAGAAAACACCTCAAGCTGCTTTCACTTCCTGTAAAGTGGAAGGGCTGAGTGCCAGGATGTGTGAGGCTCACCCCTTCTTTCCACCGGAGCCGTCAGCAGCACGTTACTGCAGCAGCACGTCTTGCTCGCGTAAGCTGCTGCTTGGCCCTTCCCACGAGACGCGAAGCAGCAGGGGGGCAGCTGTCACTGACCGAGCACGAAGTCACACGAGTGACTTCGTCAGTAAACACAACAACAAGCAGGAAAAAAACTACAACATGGCTCCAAAATGTTTGTGTTTTATGTTCTGTCCGTTTTATAATCGCCAATACGGACCTGAAAAACAAAGGAGACCGCTAGCTAGGTGATAACTTCTCACGGGGCCGCACAGTCAGTAACCTTTTTTAAAAGTAAAGCAACCGGAAGGCAGTACGTTCTTTATTCTGAAAATCTCGGGAGCTTCTCTCCATTTCTGCGTCCGATTTCCTGTCTTTCCTTCCCCAAAAATGTCGAACTTGACCCGTTTCAGAGGCGTCGCGCGTAGAAAATAGAACCGGCGCGTAAAGGCCGCGACATGCTGCTCCTGAGACGCGGCCAATTCGCGCTGCTGACGGCTCCAGTGGAAAAGGTTCTGTTGACCACAGCAGTTCCTATCAGCAGCTATGACGTGCTGCTGCAGTAACGTGCTGCTGACGGGTCCGGTGGAAAGCCGGGGTCACGCCCCGGTCGACGGAATCGTCTCGAGGCTGCTCAGTGTTCAGGACTGGCTAAGCACTGATCAGTGGTCAGCTTCGGCAAGGACATAGCCCTCCTGCCACAAGCTTCTGCTGACTTTTCATTACCCTGGCTTTCCACCGGACCCGTCAGCAGCACGTTATAGCTGCTGATAGGAACCGCTGTGGTCAACAGAACCTTTTCCACCGGAGTCGTCAGCAGCGCGAGTCGGCCGCGTCTCAGGAGCAGCATGTCACGGCCTTTATGCCCCGGTTCTATTTTCTATGCGCGGCACCTCTGAAACGGGTAAAGTTCGACATTTTTGGGGAAGGAAAGACAGGAAATCGGACACGGAAACAGAGAGAAGCTCCCGAGATTTTCAGAATAAAGAACGTACTGCCTTCCGGTTGCTTTACTTTTAAAAAAAGTTACTAAATGTGCGGCCCCGTGAGAAGTTATCACCTAGCTAGCGGTCTCCTTTGTTTTTCAGGTCCGTATTGGCGATTATAAAACGGACAGAACATAAAACACAAACCATGTTGTAATTTTTTCCTGCTTGTTGTTGTGTTTACTGACGAAGTCACTCGTGTGACTTCGTGCTCTGTCGGTGACAGCTGCTCCCCTGCTGCTTCGCGTCTCGTGGGAAGGGCCAAGCAGCAGCTTACGCGAGCAAGACGTGCTGCTGCAGTAACGTGCTGCTGACGGCTCCGGTGGAAAGAAGGGGTTAGTCTTCATTTGTCCCGTTATTGGGCTGTCATGCAGTAACGACATGTCCTACTGGGTCTGAACCAGCACTGCAGAACAAAAACCAGGCAGTGTGAAATAAAGCTGTTTTCAGGCATTTTTGGAGCGTGAGCGCGTTCTTGTGTAGATCTGCCGATCGTGTGTCAGGCTGTCGGGTACAAAGATGTTCTGGAGCAGCAGGATATTCATCTCAGTCCCTGCGAGGCCCTCTGAAGTGAAGGGAGCGCAATATGTGTGTCTCTAAAAGGGTTATTTAAAACCTCGTCGGTGTGATGAAATTGACACTGTGTGGGAGAAAAGACTGCCACTTAGAACAATGACACACACACACACACACACACACACACACACACACACACACACACACACACACACACACACACTTCAGCTGTTTTAAATGAATGTATAAATAAAACACCACCTTTGCTTTCATCTCAATCCTTTTTTGTCTGCTCTATAAATCCAGAAATACACTCAGCAAGGTGTACAGGTGCAATGGTGTGTGACACACACACACACACACACACACACAGATTTCCTCACAAAGAGATGCTATTTGTCACGCGCACTTGTACCTCCTCTTTGATCCTCCTACAGGTTCTAATGTGACGAAGCTTCCTTCCCCGCCGACGGTTTAATGAAAATATTTGAAATCTCTGAACACGACATCTTAAAACGGCTAAAAGCACAGATCACCTGTCTCCGTCAGGCTTCCTGGAGCAGGAAGTGAACCGAAGTGGACATGAAAACACTCAGGTGTCCCTGACTGTGAGGGGTTCTCCGTCATAAACACACACTTAGACTTTGTCACAATTATCGTAATACAAACGAACTCTCTGAGGTTTAAATACAACACTTGTGATTGTCTGTAATACCAACGGCCATTTCTGGTTTGTGGATGAACGTCTGGGGTTCTGACCTGGAAGAAGTCTGCCACGGTGGCGACATGACTGGCACAGGCACACTTCCTGGCATCTGGTACGTCCTCCCCGACCTGCCACAGAGGAAACACACTTATACAGGAGGCAGGTGTTTGTGACCCTGCTTTATCCTGGATTACCTCACATTTCTATGGTCCAACATTACCTGTGAGTGGGTTTACCTTATTAATCTGGTGAAGACATTTATCGGAACGTTGGGCTGCTTTGTTTCCACAGAGATTACGTTCAGAAGACATATCAGCTTCAGAGGTCATGATGACCACCAACTATTGGTGGTTCTAGGGGTGGGGCCACAGCAGCATTGGCCCCTTGAAGTGTCCTGCCACTCAGCTGTGCTTTGCGCAATGATCAGATAATGGGTGGATCCAATTCCAAGTCCAAACACTAGTAGGGGTTCTGCTGAGCTGTGATACCATCCAGGAGATGGCCGACAGCCCCTTCGAAAGCCTGAGTCATGCTTCTCTGTCAGCTCCAACAGGGACAGACACGCACGGATGGAGATGTTTTGCTCTCATGCTTCTCCATCTCCTGGAGAGTGTTGCAAAGCAATTACCCGCTAGGACAACAGGGGGCGTAGCGCTGTTCTGTGGTATCCTGTCATGTATCGGTCCAAGATAGAGTGTTTATATTGTGTTTTTTGTATATAAGAGACTTTTTAACACGAACAAATTTGTCTCTCATCCTCCTTCACTTCTTCATGCGCTCACCACCTCTAAACCCACGTTTCCTGTCATTTCCGTCCACAAATAAAGCGCTTGCTGCTTATCTTTTCACTCCTCCAGTCACGGGGAATTAAACGTTCGTATTTTAGAGTTTTTTCGCGAGGTATTCTTCAAGCTTCTCCGTGCCTGCTGCTAGTTATCCTCGGCTCTCTGTTTTTGAGGGTACGAAGGTGGCACTGTAGACGACAGGGCCGCCCTGACCAATCCCAAGCTTGCGTTTTCCGTCTCGATGGACGGATGTTTAGAAAAGAGAGCTCGACTCTGTCCGTCCTTGCGAGGGCTCTACAGCAGGCCCGCAAGGACGGATAATGGCGTTGCGTGTCTCCGCTCTGACGCAGACGCAGGACTCAGGCTTAACCCCCAGTGAGTCGTGGCGGATGGCTGCTTATACTGAGCCAGAATCCTCTGGAGGTTTCTTCCTGTTAAAAGGGAGTTTTCCTCTCCACTGTCGCTACATGCTTGCTTAGTATGAGGATTGCTGTAAAGACTCTGACACTAGTCAGTGACTTGATGCAACCTGCAGGGTTTGCTAGGTTATGAAATATTTGACTAATCTGAATAATGAACTGAACTCGGTGCACAGATAAGTAGATTCAATCGGAATGTTTACTTTGTTAAGTGGCTTGAGACGACTCTTGTTGTGAATTGGAGCTATAAATAAAGTGAACTGAAATCTTTGGATATTTGGCCCTTTATAAATACCGTGGCCCCTTGATGGCCCCATACTCAGAAAACTTCTAGATCTGCCACTGCCTCATTACTGTAACTTTAAAGGCCCCGTGTGTGAAATCCATTGAAATCATGATGAAAAAACGCGACTCTTTAGAGCTGGCTGCTCGTTAGCCACGGCTGGTGAAGGAGTGTTGGTGAGCCGGGGACACGCTGGAGATCAAGTAAACAATGCTGACTTATCCACCAGCTAATCGTGGCTCACGGCTGGCATGGTGGAGATGGGCGTCACGAGCTACCGAGCTACTAGTTAGCCACAGCTAGAGCCAGGGAGAAGCTGTGTATGCTGTGTGTAAACTCCCACGGATTACCAGCAAAAGGAGACCCAAGTCTAAAGGTAACATTTGAGAAGAAGCCCTCTGTGTCGGAGCGTCTCTGTAATGCGTGGAGAACTACATCGCTGTTAGTAGAGTGTTGTGGAGATAAAGTAGACAACGCTGCTTTAGCCACTGGCTAGTGCATGAGCGCTGGAGCGTGTTGGGCGAGACGGCAGGCTGCAGGAAGAGAGGAGACTCGAGTAGAAGGACTTCCTAACGGACACGTTGGGACCGGGTCGGGAGCTCTGGTACTAGGAAAAGACGAGTGAACAACTGGAGGTGAGTTTGGGAGTCAGAGACACTAATCGGAGGCTGGCGTTCAGCTAATAGCGGGCGGGGGTCTGAACATATGCGGCTTCCTCGTGTTGGACATGATGACGAACTGACAAATTTTATGTCTTTTAATGTAATTGTTTGTTATTGAAACTAACAAGTGCAGCAACGGTGTAGCTATTATTTTCTATTTCTTAGTTGAATTAGCAGACTCCATGCTTCCAGGGCTCACTGCTGCCCTCTGCTGGTTCTGTCAGGTTACAGTCATAGTCCAAATGGTAACGTGGAGCTCCTATGTCCCTAAACAGCTACTGTATTTTAAGATGGTGGATGACCATGGAGGGTCGACCACAGTTTATGTATTTAAAATGTAACATTTCAAGTTGAGAGGAATATTCAGAATTGATGGTGAGAAATATTAGTGAAAAAGGACAAGTTTGTGAACAGGATTTATAGTAAACAGGTAAAACAAAATCACACACTGGGCCTTTAAGAATTGAAATGAAGATTGAAATAAAATAAAGTAGAACTGCCTAAATCAAGATAAAGAGTGGAGGTAGATATAAAACTAGATTCTTCTTTCCCAGAAACACAAAGTACTTTTTGTGACCACGTTCCAGCAGGTCCCTCCTCACTTGGTTCTCATTAAGAGCTTTTGTTCTGTTGGGTTTTTCCAACAGGCTGGATGTTCGTCAGCAATCACGGCTCATTCAAACCAACACAATGAAAAACACACTGAGCATCAATTAGAGATGAAAAAAACCCCTCATGTCTTCTTCCTTCACAACAGTTTATCTAAATTTCTCCTATTAGTGGATGGCACTGCAGCTGGATTCACTGATTTGAGTTTTTGGCTCCCTTTGGGCCCATTTGCTGCTCTTTTGGCTGCTTCTGTTGGGACATTATGGTCAACACTGGCTGGCTCTGCTCCCAGCATCCACTTACCACCAAACATCTTCCTGTCTGACTGGTTAATCAACAGATCTCTGGTCCACTCTTTTGTTCCATTCACCTCTACAGCTCAGAAAATAGCCCTTTAGACCAGGCAGCAATTAAACACGAGCTTATTTCTTTCTCCGGCTCTCTGCACTCTGTCATTATGTGCTTTCTGTGTGAGCTCCTGCTGTTGTCGGGTTCACAAAGTAAAACATCCGTCTCCAGGTTCCCAGAAGGAGTCTGACTGCCTTCAAGTGCTCTTAACAGGCTCGGCGTCACAATTTATTCATTTTCTTCATTCACTGAGAATTAAAAGGAGTTTGAATCCCGTTAAGTGACTTTTTGTTCCTAAAAGTTCAAAATCGGGATGAAAACTGGTTTGATCCAAACCAAAATATATAGAAATATAAAATGTGTAAATGTTTTCTTAGACAGAAGGAAGCAGGAAATCAGCTGTATTTATTCATTTCCATCCCATCCCTCCATGAATCCATTACTAATCCGAGGTTGGATAAATGATAGGTCCAGGAAGGAAACAGAGCTCCCTCCCCTTCCCAGGCCACAGAAGGTGTAGAACAAACTCTGTTTCTGCTCTGGCGTCTCCTCTCAGGAAACCTCTATCAGAAAGTTTCCTAACCAGATCCGTGAACCACCTCAGCCGGCTCCTTCTGATGATGAGGAGCAGCCAACGATCCAGGATCTCATCACCATAGATGAGGACTGGAATGTACATAGATCAGTTACTCAAGAGCGTTTCTTCTTCACCAGGACTGGATCAGCATCCTTGATCCTACCATCCACCAAGAACACCTAAACTCCTTCTCTGAAACCAGAGACCCACTTCCAGCCCGTTCCAACTTTTTCCAGTTGACTCTAGTCAAAGGTTGCAGAACAGAAACACGTCATCTGCAAAAGTGCGGAGATGAGACACCGATGCTCCTAAACCTCGTTATGGGCACACCCGGAGATCTGGTTCAACCACAAACAGAACCAGGACCAGTTAAAGTTAAAGTCCTTTAAGGTCCCATCAGTTGACACACACACGTGTGTGAAATTTGTTCTCTGCATTTGACCGGTCACCTGGGGGAGCGGTGAGCTGCAGGCACAGCCGCGCTCGGGAAACATTTGGTGGTTTAACGCCCCAATCCAACCCCTTAATGCTGAGTGTCAAGCAGGGAGGCGTCGGGTCCCACTTTTTCAAAGTCTTTGGTATGACCCGACCAGGAATCCAACCCTGATCTCCCAGGCTCAGGGCGAACACGTACCACTAGGCCACTGAGCTGGTACGTTCTGGTAGAGTCCAACCCAGACAGGGCCAAAATACCGTCCCTGGTTCTGATAGACTTCAGGAGTAATACTAAACCCTCTAGGAGAGATCCTCTCTTCACTTGTCTTCGTTTCTCTTGCTCTGAAGCTTTTTATTTTTTTTAATAAAATAATTGTTCACACAGAGATAAAAAAGCTGCTCTCAGTTTTCCAGTTTTAGGATTTCCAGGAGAGTTTTTCAGGGAAATGTCTGACGCAGCAGCAGAACGTGTGCTTAAGGACTAGAAAGGACAGAAACTCTGAGCTGAAAATAAAAAAATTCTTCGGACATAAAACGGGAAATATGTGAACCCAAAACAAATGTTGGAAAGACCGGCCACCTTGTTCAGCTGAGTCAACGGTTCTGCTGGTTCACAGCAACACGTCCCCTTAAAATAAAGCTAAATTAAAACTGCTGTGACCCATTTGGACCCACATGTCCTCCTCTGAAGGACGTCTCTGTCCCCCACATGCCCGCCCCTCCTGTCCCGGAACGCCGACTCACCCAGTTGATGAGGATGTATCGCGGCAGAGCGGCGGTGGCTTCCTTCAGGCTGCAGAAGCCGTACATCACCCGGCCATTGTCGAAGGTCAGCGTGATCTCTGCCAGACCGCCTCCTGCAGTTCAGCCGGAGTTCCCGGCAAAAGAAAGGGTTAGGATTAGTAAACCCTGGAATAACGTTTTATATCCACTCTTTTATTCATGTTCAGGATCAAAGTCTCAGATTTCTTACTTCATTTTAAATATTTTGGATTAGACTTCATACAGTCTGAATAAAACACACTTGTTATAAAATGGGTTCAATTGGAAATGAATCAGTTGGGATTATGAATGAACTGAAATGAATGAACTGGAATAAACTTTTGCATTTCTGCAACATGAAAATAATTAACTGGATGTGTTTGGAATTAAAGCTGAATTAGAACCAATTTAAATGATGACTGGATGGGATTAAACTGGATTAAAGTGGGATAAACAGAACTGAATTGGACTAAATTGGATTGTATCATAAGCAAACTATAAATGGATGAATTTTAGTTCAGAATTTGTATAAATTAGTTCTTTTGGGGCTGAATTTAATTCAGAATTCAAAGTTATGAACATGAATGACTGATGTGAGTGAACTGAACCCAGAAGTGGTTCTTTAGTGGGATCAAGATGAACCCAGTCCTGGTACTGGTTCCATCCGCATCATGTTTAACGTTTCTATCACAAACAGAAACGTATTTACCGCCCTGCTGGTGTCGGAACGTCGACTCCATATGTACATTTGCTAATTTATGAGGACATTTTCACACAATAAAGTAACAAGATCACAGTCAGGAGGAAAAACGCTGCATGTGTGAGACGGAGATGCTAATCTGTCATTAGCAGCAGTGGTGAGTCTGTTTCTCTGATGGCTCCAGATCAGCCAGGAGAGGAAGAACCTGCAGAGCTCATCAGGTTTACGGCTGCAGGCCTCATCTTCATTAAAACGTGTCGATTACACCAGAAGCACGTGACTCGAGGGCGCTGCGGGAAAGCACACACACCTCCGGATGAAGCCAGCTTCAGGTCGTTACTGTCATCGTCCTCGTACGTGTACACGGCCCTGTTGGAGACACACACACGTTCTTCATTAGCAAACCTCTCAGCTGATCGTCAGCTGACAGAGTTAGAGTCAATGTGAAGTGTAATCAGATGTTGCACCTGTAATTACTAGTTTATTATGATCATTAGGCCTGTCTGGTTTGTGGTCTGGCCCGGTGAGGATCGGTCTGCAGGAAGCTGATACCCTCCGAGCTCGGCTTCCTGCAGACGTCAGCTCGACTCTCTCCGTCCTGTCTGTTTCTGCCTCTCTCTGCCTCCGATCAGCTGGTTTAATGTCACAGCTCATCAGCTAAAAGGGCTCCGCTCCAGTCAGACGGATTTATTCGTGCTCATTAGGAGAACGCTAACAAAACCTCATTAACTCTGAAAATAAAAAATGCTTTCAGGCCCAAGATGAGACAATCACATCAGCACAATGCTGGCTCATCCCTTGAGTTACGGAGCCTCTGAAGGATTTACAGTCTGAGTAAAATAGTTTAACTATTGATGCGTAATAACAACACAGTTGAAGCCAAAGCACTTTACCCCTAGTGGCTGGTTCCAGTACAAGTGTTAAGCCCCGCCCCCTCAGCTAACGGGAATTTGTACTGACTAAATAATTACAAATGCACCACGTTCATTTTTCTAACAAACTTTACGGTCATTAGATTTTTGACGAATTTTTACCCCCCCCCCCCCCCCCTTTAAATCTGTCACAGGCTCCTCCCACTCTAGTTGGCTAATGATGTCACCACTCTCCCTCCACCGTGTTTCTACTGTCTGCAGCTGTTACTACTGAAGTATTATCATCAGTGAAGCGATGACAGATAGTAAAGACAACATGATGGCACGAGAAGGAGGAAGTGTTTAGGACTGAGACAGGCCGGGAGCAGCAGCGAGTCCGACTCTATAAATAATCCTCTGTAAGCAGACAGCTGTTTATTATTCATACAAAGTCCTCGTGACCCAGAAACAGCTCTGTTTGTGACAGCAGCTGAGGAGGAAGATGAGTGAAGGAGCAGTGGATGATGAGGAGAAGACATGAGGTGATGAGAGAGGGAAAAGATGTGTTTGAGAAAGAAAAGAGAGCGAGAGGGTGAAAAGGGTCGAGTTAATCAGCTAATCAATCAGAGTCCATCCAGAACATCTTCATCAGGAGGATGCTCCATCTCCGAGAGTCCAATCAGGACCGAGCTTGCATGTGTGTGTGTGTGTGTGTGTTGTTCTCTAATAAAATCCCAGTGTGAAGGACAAAGAGATCTTCTCCACTTCAAAGCCAGAAAAGAAAGATTTCTACATTTGGAGCCTTCAAACTAAACTTCAGACCAAAAAACGAGTTTTGATCATTGATAAAAACTTTAGTTTTCTTTTCTGGACAGCTGCTGTTTGATGTTTTCATGACTCGACAGATTCAGTGCAGCTGAATAAAAGACAAACACCACGGACATTAATACGATGCTGAAACGTTTACAGCTGTATTTAGGCTAGTTAGCCACATGCTAACTAGCTTTAACTAAACACAAACGAGAGGAAAACAACAGACTCCATTATAATCAGGGTCGGCTTTTGTCAGGATTTTGTTTTAGGTGGATGTATTAAGATTGAAGCACAAGTCAAAGCCCCGAGAGGAAACTTCCAGTTTCTCCTCTGGCCTGTCCTCATCATGATCTCTCAGCTCGGGTTTTACCGTGTAGCAAAAGCCAGACTGTAGGCAGGAAACAGTCAAATAAAATTAACGGTGTGACTTTTATTTTGTGAATAACCAGCAACAAGATCTTGTCCAGGAACCGCTGCTCAGTGAAGAATCAGCCAAGACAAACGAACACCCCTGCACTCACACAAACACCCCCACAGGGAGCGTCACCATGGCAACCAGGCAGCATCCCCCATCCCGATCCTAGTGACGGCGGTCCGTAACCTGACAGTGGGGGAGGGATGGACATGACACTCAGTTGTGTAATGGTGACAAAACCGCAGACATTTTCATTTGTCTGATCTGAACTTTGACCTTTGACCTAAAAACACGACTTTACATGAATATAAACGGATTCATCTCCAGACAGAATTAGGTTCCAGCAACTAGAGGGAACCATGTCCTTAATTACCGTTACTAGAACAATATCTATTCAGTTTGTACTTTAACATTAAACAGTAAATAGTTTTCATTTTTAATCAGATTTTTATTTTACCTTTCAGGCTATAAAAGTGTTAACAGACCAAAACCCCTGATTTGGAAGAAGCCAGGTTATGAAAATGTTAAACAGAATTAATATAAATGACATTATTGGGAAAATCGTTATTTTTGCCTACTAAACGATAACGAAACTGAACGTTTTGTGATCAGTAAATCACAAAATAACAAATTAAGAAAAGCATCAAAATCTGGATCAGATTACTTTTGTTAGTCTTTAAAATAAATTTGAGGTTGTTATCAGAAACCAGAACAGGATCAGCTTTAGATATTTAGAGGAATGTGTGCCCACAAAGCATGGCTGTCAGGTTGCTGGGTCTGTCCAAACTGTCCGTAGGTGTGCGTGTGCGTGGTTGTTTGTCCTGTGTTGCCCTGCGATGGGGCACCCCGCTTGCCTAAAGGCAGCCAGAGACAGGTACCAGCCCCCCGAGACCCCGAGTGCATAAACGGGTAAAGACATGGATGGATGAAAACAGAACACATTCAGGAGAACCGGCTATATGAAAATTAGATTTAATCCTATTTTTTCTTCTTGGTGGTCCTAATATGTCGTTTATTTTTAACACACTGTTTCAATCACAGGTACCACACCAGAATTACAGCAATAAAGAAGAACCTGGTACATAATAAAGGTTTTAAAATTTCTTTTATTTGCTAAATATTCTGGCAAAGTTCTCCCAGAAATAACGCTTAAAGAAGGACTCCAGAAAGTCTGGAGACACGTTGATCCAGACGACTTTAAATGATTTCATCTCTGAGGAAATGAAGGTTTAGTTCATGAACTTTTATCTCAGCAGACAAAAATCCTTAAGCGTAAAACAAACACAGACGATTTGTTTTCATTTCACGACAAAATGTGTGATTTTTTTTACTTTTATTTTTTTACGTATTTATTTATGCAAGTTTCAAAATTCTTTTTTACACATTCATAACAGCAGGACAGAAGAACACGACAATAAGGACAAAAAAAAAACCAAAAAACAAAACAAACAGGGCCAGCACGTATTAGGAACAGCAGGGAAGAAAATAGCAAATGGTATGCATGTCAAACAACTCAGAATCCAGTGAGTCCAATCCACATTGAAGTTCAAATCCAGAGATTGTTAGGAGGAGCCGTTTCATAACAGCTATGGGCAACAGCTCAGATTGATAACAGTTAAAACAACGTGGTCAGGACCCAGGGCGTAGACTGTCCTTCTTAATGTGGTCTATGAAGGGCCCCATATCCTCTTGAACTTCTCCAAGGAATCAGACATAGAAAACCAAATTTCTTCCAGGTATAAACAGGAGACCATATCCTCGAGCCACCTCTTGAAGCAGGGAGGGGAGGCAGATTTCCACTCCCCCAGAATCAGACGCTTGGCAATCACCATACCAAACATAAGGGCCTGTTGCACAGCAAAAGGAAGTTCCAAGGAGTTGCCGGAGCAGCCCAGGATCACCAGAAGTCAGTCAAGATACAGTTGCCTATTGTAAACAATGCTATAAAAACTAAAAATACTAGTCCAAAAGGCAGTAAGTTTAGAACAGGACCAAAAAATATGGCCAAGAAAACCGTCTACAAGTTTCCATTCATCACATTTGGGGGAAACGTTAGGAAAAATCTTGTTCAATTTGGTTTCGGAATAGTGCAATCTATGGACTACCTTAAATTGAATTAACTGAAGCCGGGCGTTAACAGAGCACAGTTTTATGCGGCTTAACACTTCAGCCCATAAATCGCCAGAGATATCCAAACCAGTGTCCCTTGTCCAAGCCTCTTTAATACGGCAAGAGGAGGTTGCCGAAGAAAAAAGGTTAACAAGCCGAGAGATTAAATGTTTTGAGGTGGGACGTTCATTCATTATATTGTAAAAGACATGATGTATGGGGATAGTATCTGAATTTGAGAATGCTTGCTTGACATAATTTCTAATTTGTAAGTACCGAAAAAAATTACTTGTAGGGAGATTGTACTTTGTCTTACGTTGAGCAAAGGAGGCAGAATGATTGTCAATATAAAGATCTTTTATAGCAGTTAACCCTTTAACAGGCTATTGTTTCAAAGCAGCATCCATTGTACTAGGCTTAAAGCTAGGATTATGGCAGATCGGGGCAAAGGTTGACAATTCCGGGAGGTTCAAGATTCTCTTAATTTGGTTCAATATTTTTAAGGAGTTGCAAAGAATAAAGTCATCAGATAGCTGGTAAGGATGCTCCAGTGTGCTCGATAGCTGTGCAAAGCTCCATTTCGAGCCATTTGGGGCTGGACCCGCATCCCAAAGCATCACCGACTATAGGCAGATTCCAAAAGACCCAGGCTCTAGCATTACAGGCCTAGTAATAATGTTTGAAAACTGGAAGGCCCAGACCACCCTCGTTCGTTGGGCTTTTGCAAGTGAGACTTTGAGATGCGGGAGGGCTTGTAGGCCCAAACAAAAGGCATGATAATGGCATCCAATGCTTAAATAACAGAACCACATCATCTATGAGAATGCAGACGAGACCCTGAGGTCCCCCCATTCTGTCCTGGATCTGAGACCATAATCAGCACCATGGAGTCTATCCTGCACTAAGAACAAACTAGACTTGGTGCTCAGAACATAGAAGCAGCTCTTGTTCTGAATACAAGACCACTTGAAACCTGGGAAGAAGTGAAGGACAAATAAAAGTTTGAACCAGCGTCTGAAACCAATAAGTTTAAATGAAGAACAGATGGATTCTCCATGAATGGCTTCCCTGGAGAAAAATGCAGCAAAGAGCGGAGAACCTGCTTCAGTTCAGTTTACAACTAAAAACAACAAGGTGTGAAGGTCAGAGGTCAGATTAGACGTGAGACAATGACATCATAGTTCATAAAAACATCTTCATAAAACCGCGAGGGCAGAGTTTTCAGAACTTTCTTCGCAGGATTAGATTTTTTTGGGTAAGATTTGGAGGTATCATGACTCGGCAGAAACCAGAGCTGGAGTCTCCTTTTCAGGCCAGAGAAATGGATTTCAGAGACTCTGTTCTGATCCAGGGTGAAGTTTATTCCAGAATCCGTAAACAAGCCTGAATAAAATCTAACTCATCTTCCAGCGGGATTCCATTTTTTCAACCTCCAAACTAAAATCCAGCAGCAGCAACATTTTCCGCTCATCTTTCCCACAAATCCAGCATATTTGTGGTTAATAATGGATCCAGCAGATGGAAAACCATCCGCGGTGGTGATATCACACGCGGAACATTTTCCATTCATTCTCAGGAAAACCTTCAGACCCACTCGGTCTGTTGGGTTTCTGTAGAAAACCGTTTTTAGGACGTATTTAGGAATAAGGATCTGTTGAGATTTTTAAATGAAGGGCATTTAGTTTCATTTCTGTTTTGGAAACGTCTCAGGAACTCAGAACAAGATGCTGATGCAGA